ACATATGTCAACAAAGACACAATATTTGGCTGTCCCCAAATGTGCAAAAATCACCACAGAAACAATTATCTCCTGAAATGTTCAGAATGCAAAGCCACATCAACAGTCAAACCTCATTAACATAAACGTAATGTCAGTCCCAGCAGCCATCTATTATTAAGAATCCATTAGTCTCAATTAGCACAATGATTGTTTGTAAACAAACTCTGGATTCTTGGGTCATTTCCAATTCTTAATGAGCTTTTGCTAGATTTACATCATCACTATCTAGTCATTATCATCATCGTTTTCCACTTCTGCCGTTAGGCGACGTGGGGAGGAACAGTTTCCAATCCAAAGCTTGATAACCAGCCATGGCTATTGTCATTCCTGGTCGACGTAGAAACTCTTCTGTCATCAATACATGTCCTTCCAGGGCAGCCCCTTGCTTTTCACTTCAGATCTTTTCATGTGTGGTGCCTGCGCTTGTAGTTGTTCTGGCTGCATTCTTACTAGATGACCCAAAATCATTTCTTCTGTTTCGCGATGAATTTGCTGCATGGTGTTGTTCCTACAGTCTGTCTGATAATATCATTTCTTTGTCTCGAATGGTTAAGTTGGCGGCTTTTCTCAGGCATCTCATTTCACAGGTGTTAATTTTACGTAGGTTAGCCTTTGATAAAGTCAAAGTCTGGCACAGGCAGCACAGTGCTGGTATGAATATGCTGTTTATAATCTGTTACTTAGCACTAATACTTTTGTTTCGATGTCTTAATAACGTCAGTTGGTATTTGTATAAGCACATGGCTCACTGGCATCTTGTTTCTATTTTCCGAACTATTCTCTCATCCTTCAAGAATTTACTTCCTAGATATTTAAATTCTTAAACTTACTTCAGACAAGTACCATCTAGTCCACCAACTTTCCAAGTACTGAATATTTCACGTCTGCTTTTGACTGTAGCTGTTGTAGTTTGCTTTATTGATGCGTTGTGTTTTCACAATGCTGATAGAATCACACTTTTCCTTTAACCGTCTCCACAATTTTCCAGCTGAACAAATAAGTTCCCTACTGGTGTGCTGGACCTATTGTAGGTTCATCCTTATTTAAACATGTTGGTGCTAAAAACACAAATAAAACGTTTAAACGCTGTCTAAGTCATTGAACAAAACTCTAAGTGGCACACATCTGCTGGTGTTAGTGTCACTGCTAGCAGACAGTACTGTCTGTTCTGATCACCACTATCAGAAAGTACTGTCCACATACTGGTGACAGCTAGCATACAGCACTGTCTGTTCTGATCACCACTATCAGAAAGTACTGTACACACACTGGTCACTGCTAGCAGACAGTACTGTCTGTTCTGATCACCACTATCAGAAAGTACTGTCCACATACTGGTCACAGCTAGCAGACAGTACTATCAGTGTACTAGTAATTGTTAGCAGACAGTAGTCTGTGTACAGGTCACAGTTAGCAGACAGTAGTCTGTGTACAGGTCACAGTTAGCAGACAGTAGTCTGTGTACAGGTCACTGTTAGCAGACAGTAGTCTGTGTACAGGTCACAGTTAGCAGACAGTAGTCTGTGTACAGGTCACAGTTAGCAGACAGTAGTCTGTGTACAGGTCACTGCTAGCAGACAGTAGTCTGTGTACAGGTCACTGTTAGCAGACAGTAGTCTGTGTACAGGTCACAGTTAGCAGACAGTACTGTCTGTTCTGATCACCACTATCAGAAAGTACTGTCCACATACTGGTCACAGCTAGCAGAGAGTACTATCAGTGTACTGGTCATTGTTAGCAGACAGTAGTCAGTGTACAGGTCACTGTTAGCAGACAGTAGTCTGTGTACAGGTCACAGCTAGCAGACAGTAGTCTGTGTACAGGTCACTGTTAGCAGAGTTAGCAAGGAACCTGGTCAAATCCTAGCTAGAGTTCTCCTTAACCATCTTACAGTGCATCTTGATCAAAACTGATATGATCTTTGCTGGGACCTCTATTCTACCTTCATGGACCTCATAAACACCTTTGATACAACCAGTAGAGGAGCAGTGGACAATCATAGCTACATTTGGCTGCTCTCAGAAGTTTATTAGGATTGTACAGCAGTTCCATGAAGGTGTGCAGGCCAGAGTCCTGGAGAAGGTAAAACTCGGGCCCTTTCTCTGTCTCAAATGGCATAAAGCAGGGATGTTTGCTTGCGCCAACCTTGTTCAGTATAACATATACTGCGTTGCTTGTCAATGCCTTTGACGATCCAGGAATTCCTCTAAATTACCATACAGATGGCATTAATTTGAGGAGGCTTCGAGGATAAACAGAAACCACTAAAATTAAAGACCTTTCATTTACCGATGACTGCACTCCAAACTCAAGTTCTGAAACCAGTATGCAGTACATCATTAATAGATTTTCTGAAGCCTGTACTAACTTCCCGCTAACTATCATCACTGATAAAACTGTTCTTAGATATCAACCTGCTTCCAGACAAAATTACTGTGATGCCACTATTACCGCAAATGATCAAAGGCTAAATGCAGTCGACAGATTCACTTATCTTGCCAGTACCCTATCTCAGAAAATCAACATCGACGACGAGATCAATGACAGAATCTTAAAGGTCAACAGCAGTTTCAGCAGACTTTATACCAGTGTCTGGAACAGAAGTGGTATCTCCCTGCTGACCAAGCTAAAGGTTTACAAAGCTGTAAATTTTCCAGTACTGCTCTACACTTGCGAAAAGTGGACTGTGCATCAGCACCATGCTAAAAAGTTGAATCACTGTCATATAACCTGTCTCAGAAAGCTGCTTAAAATCAAATGGCAAGATAAGATCCTAAATTCTGTGGTTCTTGATAGGGCAAACCTGCCTAGCATCCATACGATACTAAAGAACTGTCAGCTGCGTTGGGCTGGTCACCTAGCCCACATGCCAGACTATTGCCTCCCAGAGGCAGTATTTTGTGTGGAGCTCCAGCAAAGGAAGAGGTCCCAGGGAGGACAGAAAATTGCTCTTAATTCTTTTGGCATCAATACAGCGACATGGGAGACTGCTGCACAAGACATTCTGGATGGCGTACATCTCTCAGGCATGGTGCATCGGCCTACCAGGCAGCAGAGGTTGCACAGGCAGAGAAACGGAAGCAGACTGGAAAGAACGGTATTGCTAATCCCACACCTACTGTGGCTTCCACCTGTTATCCACACTGCTCAAGAACTTTCCCGGCTCATATTGGACTAATCAGTCACCTTCACACTCACAATCATTGACAATTACTGCTTTGGATGAAAAGTGGTCTTTATAACTCGTGATGGACAAACAATGTTAGTAAAGAGTACTGTCACTGTACTGGTTACTGTCAGCAGAGAGTACTGCTGTCCCTGTACACTTGTGTCCTGCAGAGAAAACAAGATATTTTCACCCTCCTGGTCTGTTCTCCCCACATAGCTGCACCATTATCTTTAAAAAAAAACATTAGGATTTTTAAAAACTACTGCTCACAGATCTGACATGTCAATATACATGAAATCAAAATATGTACAACTGTCTGCCTCTCTCTCTCTCACACTCATACACACAGAATATTTTAAAAAATAGCACACACACATACACAGAATATGTGACAATATCATTGTGAAACACTGTGAATCATGTGTCAAACACAAAATCTGCTCAAGCCAACCAGGTGTCACAGACAGGCTGCAGATTAGAGGCACACCCTCACTGGTAGAATAGGTTGTAGTTTCACACGTGCAGATAGAAGCACACCCTCACTGGTAGAATAGGTTGTAGTTTCACATGTGCAGATAGAAGCACACCCTCACTGGTAGAATAGGTTGTAGTTTCACACGTGCAGATTAGAAGCACACCCTCACTGGTAGAATAGGTTGTAGTTTCACACGTGCAGATAGAAGCACACCCTCACTGGTAGAATAGGTTGTACTTTCACATTTTGCTAGCAACGGAACATGAGAGATCGGGATGTGATGGTTCCAGTTTACATAAGTTTACATTCTCACTCATGTAACAGTGAGGTGTGTTTGTTCTCACTCATGTAACAGTGAGGTGTGTTGGTTCGCATTCATGTAACAGTGAGGTGTGTTGGTTCACATTCATGTAACAGTAAGGTGTGTTGGTTCGCATTCATGTAACAGTGAGGTGTGTTGGTTCGCATTCATGTAACAGTGAGGTGTGTTGGTTCACATTCATGTAACAGTGAGGTGTGTTGGTTCACATTCATGTAACAGTAAGGTGTGTTGGTTCGCATTCATGTAACAGTGAGGTGTGTTGGTTCACATTCATGTAATAGTGAGATGTGTTGGTTCGCATTCATGTAACAGTGAGGTGTGTTGGTTCACATTCATGTAACAGTGAGGTGTGTTGGTTCACATTCATGTAACAGTGAGGTGTGTTGGTTCACATTCATGTAACAGTGAGGTGTGTTGGTTCACATTCATGTAACAGTGAGGTGTGTTGGTTCACATTTATGAAAAGGTGCTTTAGTTCTTACTTATGTAACAGTGAGGTTGTGTGGTTCAGTATAACTTTACTTCAGCTATAAGTATTACTCATGTCCTGTTTCATTTATAATGTGTACCTTCAATGCAAGCAAGCCTGTCTATAGTCACTGACTTAAAATGTATTCTGTCTACATATGCAGGTCAGTCCAGCTGGCACAGCAATCAAGCCCAACCATCATCACTCACTAGAGTGGATCCCACCTACACTCATAAACTAGAGTGCAGCCCACATACACAAGAGTGGATCCCACCTACACTCATAAACTAGAGTGCAGCCCACATACACTAGAGTGGATCCCACCTACACTCATAAACTAGAGTGCAGCCCACATACACTAGAGTGGATCCCACCTACACTCATAAACTAGAGTGCAGCCCACATACACTAGAGTGGATCACACCTACACTCATAAACTAGAGTGCAGCCCACATACACTAGAGTGGATCCCACCTACACTCATAAACTAGAGTGCAGCCCACATACACTAGAGTGCACACACCTACACTTCAACACTTGAGTGCATCAATGGAAAGCATGGATGTGACCGAGATTTGTGCAGATTCCCCACAGACGGAAAGATTGCGTATGCTGTACTTTCAAAGCTCTCATCCACAGATGATCTGTCGGACCGTGGGGACAGGAGGCCATCATCGTCCTCTGATTCTCCATCACTGCCAAGACGGAAGGAGATGCCAGTTGCCTTATTGTCCTGCTGTAACTGGCCAGAAACTCGGCTCACAGCCATGTCTGTGGGCTGATTCTCAAAGAAAAAAGACAGATGCTGATGAAAGTGTTCTGTCAGATTTGGTGATGAGGCAGATGGACTCAGTGAGGAGTTGTGCCCATGCTTGCTAGGTCTCTGTTCCTCTTGGTGGTGCTGCAGGTAGAGTTGACGGAACATTTCAACTTCTGCTGAAAATAAATATTTGACACTCAGAATTGACAAATTCAAGTCATCTATAACAGTCATCAATTCTCTATTTAAAATAAATGTCTCATTTCTGGTTTTCACTTCTCATAGAAATTGAGATTAGACGTCTTGTCGCTGGTTAACTTGTCACAGAACTTGGGATCAGATGTCTCATCTCTGCCTCACCTCTCACAGAACACGGGGTCAAATTTCCAGTCTCTGGTTCACTCCTCCAATAATGCAGGATCAAATGTGGAATCTCTGGTTTTCACTTCTCCCAGAACTTTGGATCAAATGTGGAATCTCTGGTTTTCACTTCTCCCAGAATTTTGGATCAAATGTCCAGTCTCTGATTTTCACTTCTCCCAGAATTTTGGATCAAATGTCAAGTCTCTGGTTTTCATTTCCTCAGAAGTAGGGATCAGATGTCGTCTCTGGTTTTCATTTCTCCCAGAACTTAGGATCAAATGTCCAATCTCTAGTTTTCCATTCCTCAAAACTAGGGGTCAAATGTCCAGTCTCTGGTTTTCAATTCTCCTATCTCTATACAGTCAACTTCATCTCACCTTTACATCCCCAGACTACATCAAGGTCACTTTTATCTTTACCAGACTACAGTACGATCACCTTTATCTCACCATGCTACACAATATAGTCACCTTTATCTCACCAGAGAATACAGTTAAATCACCTTTATCTCACCAAACTGCAGTACACTCTCTTTTTCCCATCAGATTGCAATACAGTCAACTTTATCTCACCAGACTACAGTAGTCACCTTTGTCTCACCACAGTCCAAAGTATGGTCACCTTTATCTCACCGGAGACTACAGTATAGTCATCTTTATCTCACCAGACTGGTACAGATACGCTCATTTCACCAGACTACTGTACGGACACCTTTATCTCACCAGAGACTACAGTATGGTTACCTTTACCTCACCAGAGTCTACAGTATGGTTACCTTTACCTCATCAGTCCAGAGTACAGTCACCTTTATCTCATCAGAGACTAGAGTACGGTCACCTTTATCTCACCAGAGACTACGGTATGGTTACCTTTACCTCATCAGAGTACGGTCACCTCTATCTCATCAGAGACTAGAGTACGGTCACCTTTATCTCATCAGACTAGAGTAGGGTTACCTTTATCTCATCATAGACTAGAGTACGGTCACCTTTATCTCATCAGAGACTAGAGTACGGTCACCTTTATCTCATTAGACTAGAGTAGTCACCTTGATCTCATCAGAGACTAGAGTATGGTCACCTTTATCTCATCAGAGACTAGAGTACGGTCACCTTTATCTCATCAGAGACTAGAGTATGGTCACCTTTATCACATCAGAGACTAGAGTATGGTCACCTTTATCTCATAATAGACTAGAGTATGGTCACCTTTATCTCATCATAGACTAGAGTACGGTCACCTTTATCACATCAGAGACTAGAGTACGGTCACCTTTATCTCATCATAAACTAGAGTACAGTCACCTTTATCACATCAGAGACTAGAGTAAGGTCACCTTTATCTCATCAGAGACTAGAGTACGGTCACCTTTATCTCATCAGAGACTAGAGTACGGTCACCTTTATCTCATCAGAGACTAGAGTAGGGTCACCTTTATCTCATCAGAGACTAGAGTGCGGTCACCTTTATCTCATCAGAGACTACAGTCTGGTTACCTTTATCTCACCAGAGACTACAGTATGGTTGGTTACCTTTATCTTATTAGAGACTAGAGTGCGGTCACCTTTATCTCATCAGAGACTAGAGTACAGTCACCTTTATCTCACCAGAGACTACAGTATGGTTGGTTACCTTTATCTTATTAGAGACTAGAGTGCGGTCACCTTTATCTCATCAGAGACTAGAGTACAGTCACCTTTATCTCACCAGAGACTTCAGTACGGTCACCTTTATCTCACCAAAGATTACAGTACAGATACCTTTATCCCACCAGATTAGTGTATAGATACCTGTATTGCACTAGAGATTACAGTACAGATTATACAGTATGCATGCATTCATCAAGTTATTTCTCACTGAACAATTGATAACTCCAGTCCTTACTTGAATTCTCTAATGTCACTGTGTCACCCAGCCTCTGCTGTGTCTGTTCACTGTCGATTTTATATAGCCTCTGTTTTGCCTGTTGACTGTTGGTTTGGTCCAGTCTATGTTTTGCTTGTTGACTGTTGATTTGGTCCAGTCTCTGTTTTGCTTGTTGACTGTTGATTTGGTCCAGTCTCTGTTTTGCTTGTTCACAGCCAAGATCTGCAGCTTTCTGGAAGAGGTCTATGGCAGAAGACTTGTCTTGAGGCAAGCCTGAAACCAACAAATCAATGAAAACTGCTATGTTTCTAAGGCTCTGTGTAGTCAAGTCGACACATGCAAAAATAACATCTGCCATGTCCTAGGACAGTACTGTCGACATATGCAAAAATAACGTCTGCCATGTCCTAGAACAGTACTGTCAACATATGCAAAAACATTTTCTGCCGTGTCCTAGGACAGTACTGTCAACATATGCAAAAATACCGTCTGCCATGTCCTAGGACAGTACTGTCGACGTATGCAAAAATAATGCCTGCCATGTCCTAGGACAGTACTGTCGACGCATGCAAAAATAATGCTTGATATGTCCTAGGACAGTACTGTCGACGTATGCAAAAATAATGCCTGCCATGTCCTAGGACAGTACTGTCGACGTATGCAAAAATAACCTCTGCCAAGTCCTTGGACAGTGTGATGAAACCACCTCAGTGATTTCAGAAATCAGTAGTTTAATCATTTCTCTGTTTTTTAATAAAGAAACTGAGAATGATATTTATTATGCCCTAAGCCCCAAGTACAAAAACCACATAGGATTAAAAATTGTTTCCCCGTTCTCAGACCAGACAAAGAAACTAGTCCTGGCCTAAGGTTACACACGGCCAGCTCCAGATTGATAAGGCCATACAGCTCAAACGGGAATTCCCGTTCTTGTGCAAGAATTGAGTCCCTCTGCGTCCACAGTAATTATCGAGGAGATGTATACACAAATTAAACTACAGTTTCAGTAATTTTCAACATATTTTTTAGAACAATACGTCATTTTTAAGGTAAATAAGTGTGCCAATTAAATATAACAATAAAGGCTCTTACAGACAAACAAAAATGCTTTTGCTACAGTCAACATGAACATAAACATCAGTAACGTTTAGATGTAAACTAAAAGTTGTTCCAGCAAAAGTAAAGAAATATCAGTGCTAACTCTTTGATTCTGAGAGGGTATTGTTGCATCAGAGGAGGGGGGTGGAGGGGGGGGGGGGGGGGGGTGTGTGTGTGACATTTGTACTTTATCAAATTTAGTGCATAAAAATACTGCTATGAAACATACACATGTCATACATAACATAAATATAAATGATTGATGGTTATTATTATTATTAGTAGACTACTAAGTTAGTTGCGTATCCTTTACAAGACGTTGCAGAACCAACCCCAACAGCCCCTGGCTGTTGTGCGGTTTCTCTAGGCAATTTACATCCAGTAGTTTGCCATTGCTTTCTGGACGGTCGGCTTTCTTGATACCACTGTCGAAACCAATGTAAGGCGCATTGCCCGCAGCTGGGATCGAACCTGGCATCCCGGCATTACGAAGCGAAGCGTTCGCATCGACTTAGCCACAGAGCCGACTAGTAGACTACAACAACATATAATTATACTGTTATTTAATAATTAGTAAACAAGCACAATCAGTATGAAATTGATATGTGCAACACTTTTTTCACCCAGAGTAGTTTTCTTAACAGTACCTATAGCACTACTAAATATGTATCCTCAAGGTACAAACAGCACAAATGGATGAAATTAATTCCTTACCATTGCGAATTTTTAGTAACAAATATGCATAGGAAGTGGATAAACAACCAGAAGTTTCGGCAAGAGTTTACAGCCAGTGTTCGCGAAGCAAAGCAAAAGCCAGTTTACAAAAATTAACACAGACCGCACAACTGCAAATATGCAAAAGAAGTGGATGACCTACCAGAAGTTTCCGCAAGAGTTTACAGCCAGTGTTTGCGAAGCATAAGTCAAATGGTTAAGGATTAATATTATTAGTGTACTGCTACAACATATAATTATACTGTTAGTCAACAATTAGTAAAGAGGCAAAGAGTGACTTGCTGTGAGAGGTTGGTTAGTAAATTAAATATTATTTTCATCCACTTACCTAGAGCTCCGAAATATCTTGACACAATTTATCCACAGTGTGGTTGCACCATTTATGCACAGTCAATATGAAAGCAATAGTTTTCTTCAAACACAAGATAGTTTGCACCTGACAACTGTCGATATTCTCCAGATATGGCTTCTAAATTACCTGTTTGTATTATCCCTAAAAGTAAGATTTCTACATTTAAAGTAGAAAAGTAATATACAGCCAGTTCCCAAAAATCCGAACTACTGACTAGAAACAGTGACACTGGCACACACATCACAACACGACTGTCTCCCATGAATTACAATTACAATTGCTGTAATCTAACAGCTTGTATGTCCACTTTACAATATCCGCTTGTCGATTTGTAATACGAATACAATCAAAACACAGAAGTTTGTAAGCATATTATAATGTCACAAAATGCAACATGGAAACACTTGCAGTAACCTATTTTCGAGGGGACTCAGCCAAAATGTGCCATGATTCAGTTGTCAGGACCAATATACAGCCGGACAGGGGTTACATAATATTACCAGCCAGTCCAACTGAGGTGTCAGAAATATGACATAATCAGACAAGCTTGGCCTTCTGAACCTTCCAACTAAGGGAAACTAAAGGGGACAAGGAGGAAACTCATTGGGGTTCTGTTGGAAAAAACGGGCTGGTTTTTGACACCTTTAACTGACACTGGGTAGAACTAGATGGGATCCACTTTAGAATGTTTGTTCAGAATGTGGGCAGTCAGTAATTGACAGTGTAAGATAACTAGTTTGAATCCACCTCAGGGGTGGGGCTTAAAGCCTCTACTGAGGGGAAAAGCTTGATACAGATAAGGGAAGGAGCTAAACTCTGCTAACTGAGATGAGGGAAAAGATTGCCAAGTCAGGGTCAGATGCGTTCAGCCCAAAAGTTTAAGACTAGATATTGTCACAATATGCACTTGTTTCTTTATCACATTTCCTGTCAGGGACAAGAACCCAAGCAGATGGTACAGTGTATGAACCTACAATGCGTGGGAGATCAGCAGACTGGAAAAAGGCAGTCTCAAATGGAGGGCTAAATGAGGACGATAGTACTGTCCACAAATGCTAAAATAATTCACGCCATGTCCTAAGACAGTACTGTCAATGTATGCTAAAATAGTGCCTGCCATGTCCTAGGAGAGTACTGTCAATGTATGCTAAAAAAGTGCCTGCCATGTCCTAGGAAAGTACTTTCAACGGGTGCTAAAATATTGCCTGCCCTGTCCTAGGAAAGTACTTTCAATGTATGCTAAATACTGTCAATGTATGCTAAAATATTGCCCGCCATGTCCTAGGAGAGTACTGTCAATGTATGCTAAAATAGTACCTGCCATGTCCTAGGAGAGTACTGTCAATGTATGCTAAAATAGTGCCTGCCATGTCATAGGAAAGTACTTTCAACGGGTGTTTAAATATTGCCTGCCATGTCCTAGGAGAGTACTGTCAATGTATGCTAAAATATTGCCTGCCATGTCCTAGGAAAGTACTTTCAACGGGTACTAAAATATTGCCTGCCATGTCCTAGGAAAGTACTTTCAACGGGTACTAAAATATTGCCTGCCATGTCCTAGGAAAGTACTGTCGATGTATGCTAAAATATTGCCTGCCATGTCCTAGGAGAGTACTTTCAACAGGTGCTAAAATATTGCCTGCCATGTCCTAGGAGAGTACTTTCAACGGGTGCTAAAATATTGCCTGCCATGTCCTAGGAGAGTACTTTCTACGGGTGCTAAAATATTGCCTGCCATGTCCTAGGAGAGTACTTTCAATGAGTGCTAAAATAGTGCCTGCCATGTCCTAGGAGAGTACTTTCTACGGGTGCTAAAATATTGCCTGCCATGTCCTAGGAGAGTACTTTCTACGGGTGCTAAAATATTGCCTGCCATGTCCTAGGAGAGTACTTTCAATGAGTGCTAAAATAGTGCCTGCCATGTCCTAGGAGAGTACTTTCAATGAGTGCTAAATGTACACACACACCCCCCCCCCCCCAAGTCCACATTCGCTAAAGACTGCCAGACTATCCTCCCCCCCCCCCAAGTCCACGTTCACTGAACACTGCTGTCAGACTGTACACACCCTCCCACTGACCATGAAATCCATGTTGGTTGAAAAGTGTCAGACTGTACACACCCTCTTCTGACCATGAAATCCATGTTGGTTGAAAACTGCCAGAATGTAGATGGCTGTCTCATGTTCACCACTAGCTGCCTGGGAACACAACTGGGCAACCTAACATTCATTCAGCTTCACCCCCACTTACCACCAAGTCCATGTTCATTGAAGACTGCCAGATTGTAAATAGCCGCCTCATGTCCACCACTAGCTGCCTGGGAATACAATTGGGCAGCCAGACATTCATTTAGCTCCACCCCCCAGCCTTGCTCGTAACAAATGGCCAGGAAATACTGAGCCTCCACATCCTGTCAGAGGAGAATTTTCATCCACATCAGCATGCACTACTGGTGGCAAAATACAATCCACCACCACAGCATGATCAACCACCACACAGCAAAAACACCCACAATAACACAATCTACCACGACCCAGCACAATCATCACAGTCCAATCAACCACAGCACATAGTGCAACAAATAACAACAGCACACAGGGCATTCAACCACCACAACACATATCACAATCAATCACACAGCGCTATCAACCACCAAAACACAATCAATTGTGACATACCATAATAAACCACCACAGCCCAATCAATCGCCACAGCAGACAGCACAATCAACCACACAGCACTATCTACCACAACAGCACAATTCACCATCACAGCGCAGAATATATTTAACCACAAGAGCACACCGCTCAATCAAAGACCACAGCACACATCACAACAGTATGCAACACAACCACCACAACTCAAATCAACCACAACAGCACACTCAAGTACCACACAGCACAATCAATCCCAACAGCACACTCAAGTACCACATAGCATAATCAATCTCAACAGCACACTCAACTACCACAAAGCACAATCAATCTCGAGAGCACACTCAAGTACAACACAGCACAATCAATCTCGAGAGCACACTCAAGTACCACACAGCACAATCAACCCCCACAGCATACAGTCTGGTCTTCAGAATATCTCCCTTGTCAAGTAACAGCATTAGCTTTTGTAGCCAGAAAATCCACTCCTTCATTCCCTCACACTCCTGCATTTCCCAGACAGTATATCCACTTGATTCCCTGCAATGTTGGCACACTGATGCATGGTATCCACTCATGCCAAATTAGTCCATTTTGAACCATCCGCAATGCTGACTGAGAATTAGACACAAAAATTCCTCTGGTAATTTTGTTTTCTGCAATCCAATTCAGAGGCGCAGTGATTGCCTCCACTTCCATTCTCATGCTTGATGTTGTAGTTGGGGAAAAAAAAAAGCCCACTTTTGTTCTGCCACAATTTTTCCCTTCATACTTACTTTTTACTTAGTAGCTCCTCTTCTACCTTGGGGTGTAGAGGTTTGCCAGAGAGATCGCCAGACGTCTCTATCAATCTTCTGGCTTTGTTGCATTCCAGTCCTCTGTCAGTTAGGGACTGTTAGATGTTGTCTTCCCAGCGCACCCTGGGTCGTCCTGGAGGTCTGGTTCCCTGGTTCTTAACCTCCCATGCCTGCCATGGTGGCCGATTTTCTCCCATTCTGCATACATGTCCAAACCATCGTAACTGTGATTGATCTACTCGGGTTTGAAAGAACTGGGTATCAAGATCTTGATGTATTGTCTGATTGTGGACTTTGTCCCTCCTTGTCACTTGGACCACCTTTCTCAGATATCTTATTTCTGAGGTCTAAAGCTGGCTTCTGTGAGCTGTTGTCATTGCCTATGACTCACACATGGCCAGGTGTGTAGATCAAGGTGAGGAAGCTTAAATGCGATTGTCGAATGCCGTTTACTCATTCAGAGGGCATACCGCCTGTTGCTATCTTCTACAGCATATTCATAGAGTCAGTTACAATTATTGCCTGTTGCTATCTTCTACAGCCTGTTCATAGAGTCTGATACAATTATTGCCTGTTGCTATCTACTACAGCCTGTTCATAGAGTCTGATACAATTATTGCCTGTTGCTATCTTCTACAGCATGTTCATGGAGTCTGATACAATTACTGCCTGTTGCTATCTTCTACAGCATGTTCATGGAGTCTGATACAATTACTGCCTGTTGCTATCTACTACAGCCTGTTCATAGAGTCTGATACAATTATTGCCTGTTGCTATCTTCTACAGCATGTTCATGGAGTCTGATACAATTACTGCCTGTTGCTATCTTCTACAGCATGTTCATGGAGTCAGATACAATTACTGCCTGTTGCTATCTTCTACAGCATGTTCATAGAGTCTGATACAATTATTGCCTGTTGCTATCTTCTACAGCATGTTCATAGAGTCAGATACAATTACTGCCTGTTGCTATCTTCTACAGCATGTTCATAGAGTCTGATACAATTATTGCCTGTTGCTATTTACTACAGCATGTTCATAGAGTCTGATACAATTACTGTCTGTTGCTATCTTCTACAGCATGTTCATGGAGTCTGATACAATTACTGTCTGTTGCTATCTTCTACAGCATGTTCATGGAGTCTGATACAATTATTGCCTGTTGCTATCTTCTACAGCATGTTCATAGAGTCTGATACAATTACTGTCTGTTGCTATCTACTACAGCATGTTCATGGAGTCTGATACAATTACTGCCTGTTGCTATCTTCTACAGCATGTTCATGGACTCTGATACAATTATTGCCTGTTGCTATCTTCTACAGACTGTTCATAGAGTCTGATACAATTATTGCCTGTTGCTATCTTCTACAGCCTGTTCATAGAGTCTGATACAATTATTGCCTGTTGCTATCTACTACAGCCTGTTCATAGAGTCTGATACAATTATTGCCTGTTGCTATCTACTACAGCCTGTTCATAGAGTCTGATACAATTATTGCCTGTTGCTATCTTCTACAGCCTGTTCATAGAGTCTGATACAATTATTGCCTGTTGCTATCTTCTACAGCATGTTCATGGAGTCTGATACAATTACTGCCTGTTGCTATCTACTACAGCATGTTCATAGAGTCTGATACAATTATTGCCTGTTGCTATCTTCTACAGCATGTTCATAGAGTCAGATACAATTACTGCCTGTTGCTATCTTCTACAGCATGTTCATGGACTCTGATACAATTATTGCCTGTTGCTATCTTCTACAGCATGTTCATGGAGTCTGATACAATTATTGCCTGTTGCTATCTTCTACAGCCTGTTCATGGACTCTGATACAATTATTGCCTGTTGCTATCTTCTACAGCATGTTCACAGAGTCTGATACAATTACTGTCTGTTGCTATCTTCTACAGCATGTTCATAGAGTCTGATACAATTACTGCCTGTTGCTATCTTCTACAGCATGTTCATGGACTCTGATACAATTATTGCCTGTTGCTATCTTCTACAGCATGTTCATAGAGTCTGATACAATTATTGCCTGTTGCTATCTTCTACAGCATGTTCATGGAGTCTGATACAATTATTGCCTGTTGCTATCTACTACAGCATGTTCATAGAGTCTGATACAATTATTGCCTGTTGCTATCTTCTACAGCATGTTCATAGAGTCTGATACAATTACTGTCTGTTGCTATCTTCTACAGCATGTTCATAGAGTCTGATGCAATTACTGCCTGTGTGGCTGTATGCTATGCTACCCATGCTAGGGCTCTAGAACAGAGGTTCTCAAACTGGGTGCCGCAAGCATATGCCAGGGGTGCCGCAGCAAAAAATGCAGTATGTAAACTGACATAGAAGTGTTCCTAACGGCTGCTTGGTTCCGTCCAAATTGAAAGAGTCATATCGAATGCGATGATTCTGATTGAGTACATGAATGTTAAGAAAAATGCTATATCCATGATGGAGAGAATTTCTCAAAATGAAAAGGATATAATGACAAATTAATCCAAACAGTTTCTCCAATCGCATTAAAGAAAACTGAGCCTCCATCATTTTTTCCTTCTCTCTCTAGTTTTTCAACCGCTTTGAGTGTAGGTGTTTCAGAATTTTTTTTTTAGACCCACAAGGGTGCCGCAGCAAAAAAGTTCAAGAGCGCCTCCTCAAGAAACAGCGACTATCTCAACTCAATTGTCACATCTGACGTAATTGCTAGGTAAGCACCGCTGTCCTCTAGTATTGCTTCTCCCATTCTTTGCACTGTACATGCTCATGATGACCTTGATCCGTTCTTCATGGATCCATCTGTGTAGATGATGATGTCTTCTGGGTGTAAATGCGGATCTGTCAGTTCCCTTACCTCTGTGTCTATAGCTGCAGGAATCTGATCCCTGCAGTAAATTCCCTTTAGAGATGCCACACAGGTCTACTGGTGCATTCGTCCATTCTTTACCTGACTGATCTCATCTAGGTCACGTACCTGCTGAATTAAATCATTAGCCTTGGCCATACAGGAGCAGCCTCTATTGAGGTGCATTCTTTCTGTGTCGTGAATAGCTTTGTGCAATGGGTGCTTAACGTCTTGACCTGTGCGACTTTGTGTCTGTTAGCAAACCCTGGACATGTCGCATGGTGCTGCAGGGGGTGTCTTTTGTGCGGCCAAGTATGAGTCTTATGTCCTGATTCTGTATTCGGTCCAGTCTTTACAGCCAGGTTTTGCTGACAGTGAGGAGGCCCAGACCATAGTGACACTTAATATAAGCCCCTGATACAGAAGGGAAAGTAGGCATTGTTCAATATAAGCTGCTGCTAGCACCTTGAGTGCTGTCAGACTTTTCTTGGCTCTAAGTATGACTGTCCACGTGATACTTGTATGACAAGAATCTGTCAAATGCCATGCCCAGGTATTTCATCATGTTCATTCTCTCAATGTCCATATTGAATCTGTCTAGTTCATGCTTTAACGTTGTAATTTTGTGCCTGCTTACAGCTCGACGGTACACAAGGCTATCATCTGCATACACCATTGATCACCCAGGCCTATGCTTTGTGCACTGGTGAATCCTGCTGTGTACACTGTAGAGCAATGGCGAGAGTGGTCATCCCTGGGACAGAACCATTAGGACACGTTGAGGTTTCAATGTCCGTGCACATCGCAGCAACACTGTTCTTTTGAATAGCGCTGCTGTAGGCATCTTCTAAGTCAATAGCCGCTGCAGCCATTTCCATTCCTTTTTGGAAATTCTCGTATGTGTCGTAGGCAAATACTGCAGCATTGCAAGACGTATCTCTCCCTGGTTGGTGTAGCAGGGAACAGACCACGTGACTCCAATGTCTAGGTCAATGTTCTGGCCATAATTGTTTCTACAGTTTGGCAGTGTGATGACTCTGTAGCCATTTATTCTCATGTTGTCTTTTCCTGGCTTAGGAACGGGTCTGAGATAGCTATGGAGCCAGTCATCCGGGATAATGCCCGTTTTCATGGTATTGTTCAATATCTTGGATAATTCACCAATATCGTCTCAAGGCTTTTGTCTGTGTACTGACACATCGTCTGTGTAGTGACATGTTGTCTGTGTAGTGACATGTCTGTGTAGTGACATGTTGTCTGTGTAGTGACATGTTGTCTGTGTAGTGACATGTTGTCTGTGTAGTGACATGTTGTCTGTGTAGTGACATGTTGTCTGTGTACTTACATGCTGTTCCGCAGCAGCTCTGAAGTAGGGCACTGCCTTGCTCACATTATGGTTTTGTTCAATGTGGTGTATGCCCAAGTAGGTCTGAGCCTGTAGAGTGACATCAAGTGTCAACATTAAGCCACATGTAACTGCTGCATTTAATTGTAAGAGTGTCAACTTTCAGCTGCAGATACTTGTAACAGTCAACTTTCAGCCACATGAATGTTAACAGTGTCAACTTTTAATCACATGTGCACATGTATTAGTGTCAACTTTCAGTAGCATGTACTTGTAACAGAGTCAACTTTTAACCACATGAATTTGTAACTGTGTGCACTTTTTCACATGTAATAGTGTCAACTTTCAGCCAGATGCACTTGTAACAGTGTCAATTTGCAAGTGTATGTAGTTGTAAGAGAGTCAACCTCCAGCTACATATACTTGAAACAGTTTCAACTTTTAGCCACATACCTCTGTAACAGTTTCCACTTTTAGCCACACATACTTGTAACAATGTAAACTTCCAGCTACACATACTTGTCACAGTGTCAAATTTCAGCTACACATATTTGTAATAGTGTCAACTTTCAGCTACACATACTTGTAGCAGTGTCAAATTTCAGCTACACACACTTGTAGCAGTGTCAAATGTCAGCTACACACACTTGTAAAGTGTCAACTTTCAGTAACACACACTTGTAAAGTGTCAAATTTCAGCTACACATTCTTGTAACGGTGTCAATTTTCAGCTACATATACTTGTAATTGCCAACTTCAAGCTACACATACTTGTAACAGTGTCAACTTTCAGCTGCACGTACTTTTAACAGTTTAAACTTTCAGCTACACATTCTTGTAAGTGTCGACTTTTGGCTACACATACTTGTAATTGTCAACTTCAAGCTATACATACTTGTAACAGTGTTGACTTTCAGCTACACATACTTGTAATTGTTAACTTTAAGCTATACATACTTGTAACAGTGTCAACTTTCAGCTGCACGCTTGTAACAGTTTTAATTTATAGCCACATGTACTTGTGACAGTGTCAACTTTCAGCCACATGTACTTGTAACAGTGTTAACTTTCAGCTACACATACTTGTAACAGTGTCAACTTTCAGCTGCACATACTTGTAACTTGTCAAATTCAAGCTACACATACTTGTAACAGTGTCAATTTTCAGCTGCACGCACAAGTAAGTTTTAATTTATAGCCACATGTACTTGTGACAGTGCAAACTTTTAGTCACATGCACTTGTAACAGTGTCGATTGTCTGTTAACCCCCCTCCCCTTTTTTGGCTGCGCATGGGGGGGGGGGGGGGGGATAATTTCAAGCACCCTCACCCTTTCTCATTATATTTATTTTCCTGATCTGTTGAGCAACCTTAAGCTCTAAGTGGCCATCCAAGGGCTCTGCCTGTTTTCAAGGTCTGCTATAAATCCTGATGTGTTGTTCCAGACGTAGGTTCCACTTAATACTTCTCACTTCTTCTTCTGGCATTCAACAGTCAATGAAGCATAGGCCCTCACCCTCAATCAGTCTGCATACAAGTGTCCTCTCTATTCCATCTATTTTTATTCAGACTAAAAATAATAAGTACCAGTGTGCTACTGTAATTTAGACTAAAAACAATGAGTAATCAACACACAAAGTGACCAACCTGGGCCAGGCCTAGTTGTGCTGCCTTCTCTAAAAGATTGAGACCTTGCACCTGATTGCAGCCACAACCACATGCAGCAGCATCTGTTGCTTGTGCTGACGAGATGTAGTTGTTGCACTGCATGCACATCAGTCCCAGGTTGTACAAGGCCATGCTGTGGCCTTCTTTTGCTGCCAGATTGTAGTAGTGTTTGGCCTGGAGACAAACATGAACATATCTATAATAACAACAATGTCTGGCCTAGAGACAACCATGAACATATCAATAATGACAATAATGTCTGGCCTAGAGACAAACATGAACATATCAATAATGACAACAATGTCTGGCCTAGAGACAAACATGAACATATCAATAATGACAGCAATGTCTGGCCTAGAGACAAACAAACAACCATGAACATATCAATAATGACAATAATGTCTGGCCTAGAGACAAACATGAACATATCAATAATGACAACAATGTCTGGTCTAGAGACAAACATAAACATATCAATAATGACAATAAAGTCTGGCCTAGAGACAACCATGAACATATCAATAATGACAATAATGTCTGGTCTAGAGACAACCATGAACATATCAATAATGACAATAATGTCTGGTCTAGAGACAAACATGAACATATCAATAATGACAATAATGTCTGGCCTAGAGACAACCATGAACATATCTATAATGACAGCAATGTCTGGTCTAGAGACAAACATGAACATATCAATAATGACAATAATGTCTGGCCTAGAGACAACCATGAACATATCAATAATGACAACAATGTCTGGCCTAGAGACAACCATGAACATATCAATAATGACAACAATGTCTGGCCTAGAGACAACCATGAACATATCAATAATGACAGCAATGTCTAGCCCAGGGACAAACATGAACATATCAATAATTACAACAATGTCTGGCCTAGATACAAATATGAACATATCAATAATGACAATAATGTCTGGCCTGCAGACAAACATGAACATACCAATTGTCCGACACATTTTTAAAGGTGTGACAAAAGTACCATTGTTAATTTTGTGTCAGTGTGCCCACACTTTCATTAACATGTAAACAATGCAGAGAGTCAGTGCGACAAACGCCAGCAGGAGATACTTGGGGCTGGACGGGTAGGCGAGGGAGAGTCTGTGACGAAACGACCTCAGTGTTTTCAGAAGTTCGAACGCGTAATAATTTCTTCTGTTTATAGAGAGACAGAGAATTATATTTACTATGCCCTCAGGCCGGAAAAATTACAGAAACCACATGGATTTAATTGTTACCAGTCCTTAGCCCAGACAAAGCAACCAAGCTTTGGTTAATATTACATAACATTACCTAGTATAGCCTGCTGGTCTACCTGGGAAAGTTCAGACATAGTAACTGTAGGGTTTGATTGTAGAACTGAAGTGTCATGTAATTATGTCCTGACCAGAAAACCTTAGAGGCAGGTAACTCAGTCATAAAACTAATTATCCCCCCTGAGATTATCTTCCTTGAACTGCAGATTAGACCCTAGTGTCATAAAATGGTTAGGTCATCAACCAGGCTGGGCTCTTTCAATTGATAAGATAGGGGGAATTAACCTGGTCAAGTAGGAAAGTCCAAACATGGCGACGTCATCTGGAACAGTGTTTTACACCTGTCAGTTAGATTAGTTGTAAACTAGATTGGGCCACTTAAGAATGTTTGCTTAGTGGTGGCCATCAAGAATTGACTGACAGGCACCCTGATAGCTAATTTGATCTGCAACGTACTTCTGGGGCGTGGCTTAGATCTTCTCCAGTAGAATCTAGAAAGGGGAGGAGTTTAATTTAGACAACAGATTGATACTTATACTGCGAGCATTTTAAATTTACCTCATAGTGCTGCCAGCAAAGCCACAAACTCAGATCGACATTAGAGGTAATTCTAACTGTTTGATTCTGGTTTGGCGATTGCAGGAACGTTCCCATTATTTTTAATCTTTATTCATAGGTTAGGAGCTAGATTAGCCTATTATTCCTTTCCTGAGTTTTCTACACATTCTGTTTGAAATAGTTCTTTGTGAGTATTCAGTTATCTCAGTTAGGGAACTGCTGAACCATTCCTATTTCTTGTATGTTTGTGTCACATGTTTTTCAGTGTATGTTATCATGTGTATAAAATAAGATGTGAACAATGACATTTGCTATAATGAAATGTAATTATATTGTTTCCATTTTCAACCCAAAACATGTGCTTGGACTGTGGGAAAATCATGCCCATAAATACAGCCATGTGGTTGCGTTTTAATAGCTCACCATGTGCTCACTGGAAAGACAATATTCCAGACAACATGCACATATAAAATGGTTGGAGTTTTCAGTACATAACCTGCTCCACGTGTTCATGTAAAAACAATGTCAGCCAGTTTCAAAGTCTGAGTGAAGACTGACAGCAGACTTAGGAAGTCAACTATCATGACAGAATATGAGAGGGAAGGCAATATATGTGACGTCAATGTGAGACATAAGGCCTTCAGACTAGACTGGAGAGAATGTGGAAGATGAGGAGGAGAGATGTTATGTATATATTTATACTGTATTGGTATATGCATGCTTAGTGTAAGTATATATACTACACATATGTGTTTGTTTCACAGCGCCCTTCAGAGTGAAGACGTTTGCTCTGATAGAACTAGATAGTCACATGCACGTACCTACATTGTGGGAGATCGGAATGCTGGGAACAGGCGGAGAAGAAGCTGGAAGAGGTCGAAAAGCTCGACAGTGCCTCACGGCTGCCAAAGGTTTATATGAAAGTTACGTCTACACATTGCTCGTAAACTTATCACCCTCATCACACCACTCTAATCCCAGGTGCTTAGTTCTCTAGTTGAAGCATCTCATCACTATCATACCATTAGCCAGTCACTGTTTGTGTAAGCACAACAAACTGGCAATTTAATTTAACTCATTGTTAGTAAATAAAGCTGTATGTCAAGTTTTATACTACATAGTTTGTTAAATTCTAAGTGTATTCAGTCTTACCTGTTTAACTAAACAGTTAGATAAAATTACATTTGGTGGAGCCTCTTTAATAATTACCAGAAGAGGAGAAAGTCAGAGGGGTTAACTGTGTATCTTGATATCTCATTGGGTTCATCTTGATATCTATCTATCCCTTCTCCTACTCCTGTGGGTACCGAGTGCAGCTGTTGTGTATTTATATGACGAGCCAAATATGGCTGTTTTATTGGATATCCAGGACTTTGTCTGAGATCAACATAGCTCGGATATTAGTCCAGTTTCTCTGGTGGAGGTGAAGTGTTAAGAGGTAAACTCCTACTCATCACAAAAGCATCAATCCACTTTGGGACCCGCGACATTTTGTGTCAGTGTGCCCACACTTTCCTTAACATGTAAACAATGCAGAGAATCAGTGCGACAAACGATCACACGAGATACTTGGGGCTGGACGGGTAGGCAAGGGAGAGTCCAAGGTGGACTCGTGGTCAGTTGAGCACCAGAGTCAGAAGAAGACGGTCATGATGTCATTACTGTAATTAAATGTAGTCAACGTGGAGTAAATGAGTATTTTGTCACATTTGTGAAAGTGAACAGCGATGATTGCTATGAGTAACTGAGAAAAAGAAATAAACTGGTAGAATGTCTATTGGAATCTGAGTGGCATTTCAGTTGTCAATTGTAGGAAGCTGTATTTGTTCTAGAGTAAACGAGCCATAGTAGAAGTGACCCAGCTATCGTACGAGCCAGCATTCTCACATAAAACCAGCTTTCTTATATTTAAGTGCTAATTTTAATTGCAAAGTTAGTCTGGCTTCCACACAAGGTTATCGGCTACTGATATATATCTGACAAGCACATAAATCCCAGGTAGTCACTGGCTAAGTACATCAACAGTACGCTGGTATAGCTGATCACAAATCACCCTAGGAATATGAACAGTCATGAGAGGGTCGCGGATGCATCTGGAAAAATAATTACGTATCATCCTGGCTACCACAACTAACTTTATAATTCCTGCTACACAAAAGAAACACTTGTCACAAGTATGAATACTAACACTGTCCTCTCTACAGCTTTAAATCCAGTCCACACCAACAGACACATCCGTTTACTGGACTGTCAAACAACTAACTGCTGTGTGTTGCTCTAGTCGTTTGTCAAGACCCCTTATAACCTCCCCACTCAGTTACTCGAATAGCCCTGCGGGTCTACACACAACCCCTCTGACCAGTAATTGACCTGTCTGCTGTTATGAGTCGGTCTAGTCGTTGTTCGTCTTTCTCTCACAGTGTGTGGTCAAGTTGACTCATGACACCAATACAACCATGAACAGATCGATACAAACAGAAGAATATAAATACAAATATGAAGATACATGCAACATATAAATGTTTACCTTGTGCAAGTCTGTCCCAAAGCACGCCAGACCCATACATACAACATACAAATGTTTACCTTGTGCAAGTCCTGGGGTACACCAGAACCAGTCTCGTAACATAAAGCCAGGTTGAAGCAGGCAGAGGTGTTGCCTAAGGCACAGGAGGACTGCAGGTGTTGCACTGCAGCATTAAAGTCTCCCTGGATGGCAGCCTCAAGGCCCAGAAGACTTTCCGTTGTAGCTGTGTATTCGGTGCACATGGATTCAAACTCCTTCATGGCAGAGTCTAAAGTCTGAAATATAAGACACATACACAAGTCTCAAATACAAGACATATAACTTGTCTCAAATACAAGACATGTAACTCAGGTCTCAAATACAAGACATTACCTCAAGTCTCAAATACAAGACAGGTAACTCAGGTCTCAAATACAAGACATGTAACTCAAGTCTGAAATACAAGACATGTAACTCAAGTCTGAAATACAAGACATGTAACTCAAGTCTCAAATACAAGACATGTAACTCAAGTCTCAAATACAAGACATGTAACTCAAGTCTCAAATACAAGACATGTAACTCAAGTCTCAAATACAAGACATTTTTGTTCTATGCTAGTTGTAGCAAGGAAAGATTGACTTAGGAACAATATCAGGAGAGGAGTCAGCAAAGAACCAATACTGAACTTTATCAGCAGACAACAGAAGAAGTTGTTTGACCATGTAACAAGATTGACACCAGGCAGGGTCTCTTTCACTGCCAACAACACCCGCATACCCTGGTACAAAAGCAAAGGTAACTCCACGCACAGTGGAGTTTTGCAATGACTCGATCCACCTCGACCTGCTGGATCATGCTTATGGAATCACTCACCACACACACATGCGAACAGCCCCGCAATGCTAGACACATGAAAGCTCGTGTTACTGCCTTCCCCTCTATTGTCATGCTGGTAGAAGTCATACAGAAGGCACCACTTGCCTCCTAGACTGTTCAGCCTGCATAGCACACAATAAATACCGATGCACTATTTGTTACTTACAACGGACCTATCTGTGTAGATCAGTACGTCTGCCTCATCTGGACTTCTTTACTGACAGCAATTCAATTCTGCTCCTGACAGCTCCGATCAAGCCTGGTGACACAGGAAAAGGTGCAGCTGAGCACCTGCGGCACAGGTATCCATTTTTCGCCATGGTTGATGTCTGCAGACCTGTATGACATCATCCTCTGCCCTAGTGAGCCATGATTTGCCCCTTTTTAGCCCACTGCCCTTTTCCCTCAAGAGAACCTTGCGCAGACAGCGCTTCAAATACAAGCATATCTTCAGGTAGGGACAAATCCTCCACAAGCTTATCCTATGGTGCATTGTCAGAAAGTCAAAAAGGTAGCTCATTGCCATGCAAAAGGTGTCTCATGTGCACCCCAGAATAATGTGCATGGCTTTATTTGGCACCTTTTCATCTTTCAATCTGAGTATCGCCGAAGGTGGAGAAAGAACCAGTCCCTGGAATAGTAGCAGAAACAGTCTCTGCTTGATTTTGGCAGTGGCCCTCAATTTTGATAAGCCCTTAGGTGTTTTTGTTATTACATGGTCGATGTGGTCTTTGAAGGACAGACTGCGATCAAGCTTCACACCCACATATGTTATCGGGTGTGTTCTTGTCAAAGTTTCGCAATTAATTTCCACCATTGGTAGGTCTGCTTCAAAAATATACATGTTCAAGGGGAACCACGTTACTGAAGCTTTTGAGGGGTTGACATGTGCACTGGAGTCCACACACCAGAAGGAGATACGATCAAGTTTGCTCTGCATTGCATTGGCAATCTCTTGACACTTTCTTCCATGATGACAGACCAAAATGTCATCAGCAAATGACAGTCCTGCCACACCTATTCAACTGCTGGTCTGTTATTTGCAACGCATACACATAAAAGAGGACTGGGGACAGCGGAGAACCTTGAGCTGATCCGGGACACATGGTTATCTGGTTTGAGGACCAACAACCACACTCCTGCCTTTACTGTCAATTATCCTATCCCTAACTATCCTGTTAATTATCCTAGGATAGTCTATCCTGTCAATTATCTGACCACTGTCTATCCTGTCAATTATCCTACCCCTGTCTATCCTGTCAATTATATGTTAACATATTAGTCATCAGTAAACGTTTCATTCATCTATCTGTAAACATATTATATGTCTATCTGAAAAAAACATAACATAATCTACCTGTAAATATTCCATAATATATATATATATATATATATATATATATATATATATATATATATATATATATATATATATATATATATATATATATATATATATATATATATATATATATATATATATATATGAACATCACCCACCTCAGTCTGTAATTTGTTGCCGGGGGAAGACTGTGTTCCAACTGGCACATCACTGACAACTGTGTCTTGCTGATGTGGCAACGTGACGGGGCTGATGGCAGATCTGATATTTTGCTGGAGGCCTGTGGGGGTGCTGGTGCCACTGTTGATGGATCTGACGACCGTTCTGTTGTAATTGGCCAACAGAACTCTAAACAACAACCGAGATTTATAGCGATGTCTGTCTGTATCGGCACCAAACAACACCATAGAGCCCTAGATGTTAATACAGAAAACACAAATGTTCTTATGTCTGTCTACACCAAACAGCACCACAGATAAGAGTGTTTGGAGAAAGACAGGCAGTTTAAAAATTGTTTTAAGAGAGACAGGCAAAAAAAAAGGTCCTTTAAAGAAAACAAGACAGACAAAACAAAAATAAAGTGTTTTAAGGGATACAGATTAGACAAAAGGTGACCCAAGGAAGAAAGACAAGACAAGATCAAAAGTGTTTGGAGAAAGACAAAAAGGATAAGGAAGTGGCTGGAAGAAGACAGATGGGACAAGGAAGTGTTTGGAGAAAGACAGACAAGACAGTGTTTGGAGGAAGACAGATAAGACAAGGATGTGTTTGGAGAAAAACAGACAAGACAAGGACATGTTTGGAAAAAGTCAGATAAGACAAAGAAGTGTCTGGAGGAAGACAGACAAGACCAGGAAGTATCTGGAAGAAGACAGACAAGACAAGGAAGTGTCTGGAAGAAGATAGAGACAAGGAAGTGTCTGGAAGAAGATAGATGAGACAAGGAAGTGTTTGGAAGAAGACAGACAAGACAAGTAAGTGTCTGGAAGAAGACAGATGAGACGAAGTGTTTACAGAAAGACTGACAAGACAAGGAAGTGTTGGGAGGAAGACATACAAGACAAGGAAGTGTTTTGAGGACACAAAAAGAACAAGCTTGAAAAACAGAAAAAGAAAGTGTTTGGAAGAAGACAGATGAGACAATGAAGTGTTGGGAGGACAGTTCAAGAAAATGTTTACAGGACAGAAAAAAGAACATGTCGGAAGGATAGAAAAAGAATATGTTTGGAGGACTGAAAAATAACACGGTCAGAGAGAAGAAGAGGAAGGCAGATAAAACAAAAAAGTCTGTGGATGGAGGAAGACAGATAAGACCAAAAAAAAAAGTTAGTTGCGTATCCTTTACAGGACGTTGCAGAACCAATCCTTACAGCCCCTGGCTGCAGTGTGGTTTCTCTAGGCAATTTACATCCAGTAGTTTGCCATTGCTTCTGGACGGTCGGCTCCCTTGATACCACTGCCGAAACCAACGCAAGGCGCATTGGCCGAGCTGGGATCGAACCTGGCATCTCGGCATTACGAAGCGAAGCATTCGCATCGACTTAGCCACAGAGTCGACAGACAACAAAAAAGTGTTTAAATAAAAGAAAGAAAAGTAATTTGAAGAATGAAAATAAATGAGACCAGAAAGTGGAGCGCAGAAAATTAACATATTTGGAGGAAGGAAGACAGATAAGACAAGAAAGTGTTAGGAGAAGGAAAAAAAACCAAAATATTTGGAATGCACCAAATGAAAATATTTGGAGGAAAAAAAGACAAGACAAGAAAGTGTTTGTGGAGGACAGAAAAAAGAATATGTTTGGAGGACAGAAAAAGAAAGTTTTTAGAGAATGAAAGACAAGGCAAGAAAGTGTCTGAAGAAAGGCAGACAAGATAAGAAGGTGTCTGGGGGAAGACAGACAAGACATTTTTCAGAGAAAGACACAAGACAAGAAATGTATGGAGAAAGGACAAGATCAGAAAGTGTTATGAGGAAGACAGACAAGAGAAGGACATGTTTAGAAGAAGACAGACAAAAAAAGAAGTCTTTGAGACAGACAAGACAAGGAAGTGCTTAGAGGAAGACAGGTAAGACAAAGAAGTCTTTAGAGGAAGACAGACAAGACAAGGAAGTGTCTGAAAGTAGAAAGGCAGACAAGACAATGAAGTGTCAGGAGGCAGAAAGATGGACAAGACAAGGAAGTGTCTAGAGGTAGAAATACAGACAAGACAATAAAATGTCAGGAGGCAGAAAGACAGATTTGACAAGGAAGTGTCTAGAGGTAAAAAGACAGGCAAGAAAAGTGTCTGGAGGTAGAAAGACAGATAAGACAATAAAGTGTTTGGAGGAAGACAGATAAAACTAAGGAAGTGTCTAGAGGTAGAAATACAGACAAGAAAAGTGTCTGGAGGTAGAAAGACAGACAAGACAATTAAGTGTTTGGAGGAAGACGGATAAAACTAAGGAAGTGTCTGGAGGTAGAAAGACAGACAAGAAATTGTCTGGAGGTAGAAAGACAGACAAGACAATAAAGTGTCAGGAGGAGAAAGACAGATTTGACAAGGAAGTGTCTGGAGGTAGAAAGACAAGACAAGGAAGTGTCTGGAGGTAGAAAGACAGACAAGACAATAAAGTGTTAGGAGGCAGAAAGACAGATTTGACAAGGAAGTGTCTGGAGGTAGAAAGACAGACAAGAAAAGGAAGTGTCTAGAGGTAGAAAGACAGACAAGACAAGAAAGTGTGTTGAGGAAGACAATAACAAATTAGGAATCCATACTGACCCAAGATATGGCCTCCAACATACGATGTGAGCCACTAAACATTCTCCAGAAGTCATAATGACAGGATGACCTTTGTCGACTGCCATCTTGCTGACCAGTGTTGAAGTCTTGATTGTCTCCAATGTGGCAGGTTGTTTCATTCTTGCTATCTTCAACAGGTCTCTTGTTCACAAACAGACTGGGCAATGTTTGACAGACAGAGAGAGAAAAACATCATGTGGTGATTATAGTCGCCAGCAAGGGTTAGTCTGGCATGTCCATTGCTTGATTCCTGCACGGATAAATACTTGCAGACATAGTGTGTGGACATCCACACACATACAAGGGGTTGATTTTTAAAAAGTACCCAGAATTTGTGTATTATGCAGAGATAAGTAACAGTACAATAATTTCACTACATTTCCTTCAAAACAGTTCTTTTCGGCAACAACACTTGGTCAACATTTAGACAGTTGTTGGAAACATTCCTGAAACTCACTATCTGACACCTTTTTCCGTTGCTTTGTCACACTGGTGATAATATGCTCACAATCCTTGAATGACTGTCCTTTCACTGCTGACTTTAGGTGAGGGTACAAGAAAGAACTCGGCTGGTGCCAGGTCGAGAAAATATGGAGGATGTTCCAGGGGAATGACATACATTTTGAGGTACTGATTCACCAGCAGGAATCGATGTGATGAGGCACTGTCATGCAGCAGAAACAAGCTGTTATCCATTTTTCAGGGTGTTTCCTTCTGACTGCATCTCTTTGATGATGAAGCATATCAAAGTACATTTCCTTAATAACTGTTCTGCTGCCTTCTTAAATGAACTCACAACAGACAATAATCTGAGAATTAAAAAAAAAAAAAAACGTCTATCATAACTTTTGATCCTGATCTCTCCCCCCCCCCCCCCCCTTTTCCCCCATAAACAAACAAATAAATTTTAAAAAGTATGTCAGGGGAGATAAGGGTGATTGCCATTTACATGACAGATATTTTCTTAAATGATCACACAAGAAATACTGTGTCTCATCTCCTGGGATTATACTATTCAGGAAACTACTATCTTGTCAGTCATAGTGATTAGTCTCCTGCCAGTGTCATTCTGGTTTCTTTTTGTTGAGGAGGTAACATTTTGGGAACCATGTGTTGACAAACATGGTGCATGCATGCACAGTTCAGAAAGGAGATAACATTTAAGGAACCATGTGTTGACAAACATGGTGCATGCACAGTTCAGAAAGGAGATTACTGTGGCAAATTGTAACTGATATTCCAACTTCGGAGGCTATTTTTTGACACCAAGTCTTCCGTCAGCAAGAACAATGTTCCGAACATGCTCAATGTTTTCACTGTTTATCGTGGTAAGTGGCTACCCACTACGCTTCACATCAACACTAACATGACCTTCAAGGGAAAACTGCCACTGTAATGGACAACTGTATTCATCTAAGCTATTAGAAAAAAGATCAATTTTATTTATGGAACACTAAGCAAACATTGCCATTTTGTTAAGCCGGTCCACGGCCCTCTGTGCTGACCAATCTTAGCCCTCTGTGCTGACCATTCTAAGCCCTCTGTGCTCACCATTCTTAGCCCTCTGCTCTGTGCTCACCATTCTTAGCCCTCTGTGCTGACCATTCTAAGCCCTCTCTGCTGACCATTCTTAGCCCTCTCTGCTGACCATTCTTAGCCCTCTGTGCTGACCATTCTTAGCCCTCTGTGCTGACCATTCTTAGCCCTCTGTGCTGACCATTCTTAGCCCTCTGTGCTGACCATTCTTAGCCCTCTGTGCTCACCATTCTTAGCCCTCTCTGCTCACTATTCTTAGCCCTCTGTGCTGACCATTCTTAGCCCTCTGTGCTGACCATTCTTAGCCCTCTGTGCTGACCATTCTTAGCCCTCTGTGCTGACCATTCTTAGCCCTCTGTGCTGACCATTCTAAGCCCTCTGTGCTGACCATTCTAAGCCCTCTGTGCTGACCATTCTAAGCCCTCTGTGCTGACCATTCTAAGCCCTCTGTGCTGACCATTCTAAGCCCTCTGTGCTGACCATTCTAAGCCCTCTCTGCTGACCATTCTTAGCCCTCTGTGCTCACCATTCTTAGCCCTCTCTGCTGACCATTCTTAGCCCTCTCTGCTCACCATTCTTAGCCCTCTCTGCTCACCATTCTTAGCCCTCTCTGCTGACCATTCTTAGCCCTCTCTGCTGACCATTCTTAGCCCTCTCTGCTGACCATTCTTAGCCCTCTGTGCTGACCATTCTTAGCCCTCTGTGCTCACCATTCTTAGCCCTCTGTGCTGACCATTCTTAGCCCTATCTGCTGACCATTCTTAGCCCTCTCTGCTCACCATTCTTAGCCCTCTCTGCTCACCATTCTTAGCCCTCTCTGCTCACCATTCTTAGCCCTCTGTGCTCACCATTCTTAGCCCTCTGTGCTCACCATTCTTAGCCCTCTCAGCTGACCATTCTTAGCTCTCTCTGCTGACCATTCTTAGCTCTTTCTGCTGACCATTCTTAGCCCTCTGTGCTTTGACCATTCTTAGCCCTCTGTGCTCACCATTCTTAGCCCTCTCTGCTCACCATTCTTAGCCCTCTGTGCTGACCATTCTTAGCCCTCTGTGCTCACCATTCTTAGCCCTCTGTGCTGACCATTCTTAGCCCTCTGTGCTGACCATTCTTAGCCCTCTGTGCTCACCATTCTTAGCCCTCTGTGCTCACCATTCTTAGCCCTCTGTGCTCACCATTCTTAGCCCTCTGAGCTCACCATTCTTAGCTCTCTCTGCTGACCATTCTTAGCTCTCTGTGCTGACCATTCTTAGCCCTCTGTGCTCACCATTCTTAGCTCTCTCTGCTGACCATTCTTAGCCCTCTCTGTTCACCTTTCTTAGCTCTCTCTGCTCACCATTCTTAGCCCTCTCTGCTCACCATTCTTAGCCCTCTCTGCTCACCATTCTTAGCTCTCTCTGCTCACCATTCTTAGCCCTCTCTGCTCACCATTCTTAGCCCTCTGTGCTGACCATTCTTAGCCCTCTCTGCTGACCATTCTTAGCTCTCTCTGCTGACCATTCTTAGCTCTCTCTGCTGACCATTCTTAGCCCTCTCTGCTGACCATTCTTAGCCCTCTGTGCTCACCATTCTTAGCTCTCTCTGCTGACCATTCTTAGCCCTCTCTGCTGACCATTCTTAGCCCTCTGTGCTCACCATTCTTAGCCCTCTCTGCTCACTATTCTTAGCCCTCTGTGCTCACCATTCTTAGCCCTCTCTGCTGACCATTCTTAGCCCTCTGTGCTCACCATTCTTAGCCCTCTCTGCTCACTATTCTTAGCCCTCTGTGCTCACCATTCTTAGCCCTCTCTGCTCACTATTCTTAGCCCTCTGTGCTCACCATTCTTAGCCCTCTGTGCTGACCATTCTTAGCCCTCTGTGCTGACCATTCTTAGCCCTCTGTGCTGACCATTCTTAGCCCTCTGTGCTGACCATTCTTAGCCCTCTGTGCTGACCATTCTTAGCCCTCTGTGCTGACCATTCTTAGCCCTCTGTGCCGACCTTTCTTAGCCCTCTGTGCTCACCATTTTTAGCCCTCTGTGCTCACCATTCTTAGCCCTCTGTGCTCACCATTCTTAGCTCTCTCTGCTGACCATTCTTAGCCCTCTCTGCTGACCATTCTTAGCCCTCTGTGCTGACCATTCTTAGCCCTCTGTGCTGACCATTCTTAGCCCTCTGTGCTCACCATTCTTAGCCCTCTCTGCTGACCATTCTTAGCCCTCTCTGCTGACCATTCTTAGCCCTCTCTGCTGACCATTCTTAGCCCTCTGTGCTGACCATTCTTAGCCCTCTGTGCTCACCATTCTTAGCCCTCTGTGCTGACCATTCTTAGCCCTCTGTGCTCACCATTCTTAGCCCTCTGTGCTCACCATTCTTAGCCCTCTGTGCTCACCATTCTTAACCCTCTCTGCTGACCATTCTTAGCCCTCTCTGCTGACCATTCTTAGCCCTCTCTGCTCACCATTCTTATCTAGTAAATGAGTATACAAATTAAACTAGTTAAATTAACTTGCCATATATTTTACTGAATATTTTATTATTATCATTCTATTTTTTTGAATGGCTCAGTTGGCATCTGTGGCTTAGGCATTGCGAAAGCGCTTCTTACTGGATGTACTAGCTACTGGATGTACTAACTACTGGATGTACTAACTACTGGATGTACTAACTACTGGACCTAATAACTACTGGATGTACTAACTACTGGACCTACTAACTACTGGACGTACTAACTACTGGATGTACTAACTACTGGATGTAAATTTGCCTAGAAATGATAATTCATTCAATCAAATATGTTGCAAGTTAATTAAACTGTAGTTTAATTTGTGTATAAATGTACTTGGTAACAAAGGTGAACACAGACCGGCCGTGGACCGGCCTAACAAAACGGGAAATCTGTAGTCCTGTTAGGCCTCAATGCTGGAGCTGGCCGTGGCAAAAACATACAACACAAAATATACACATATAAAAACATTATCATCTGCATAAAACTAAACATGACATACATGATAATGTTGGTCTGCTCATCATCATCACTATCTTGAATTACCTGTTCAAAACTTTTGCACTGCAACCTTTGACCTCATCAATATCCTGAGATTTGCACCGGCGTCCAGAAAACGGACAAGTTTTTTCATGGAGCTCTAACGCTTCCTGTTCTTCCTCCACATAGAGCCCCGCCGAAGGTCGCAGACTGTGAACATGGTTTTTGAATCCTGAAATGCAAGAAGTAAGTCAAGAGAAGTATTTTTCGAGTCTGTAACATATGTCTGTCTTTCTCATACAAACTTGAACACGCACAAATAAGACATTACCAGGCGATCCAGCAGGTGAAATATAATAACAAAATAAAAAATTATATTTCTTAGTAAAAGGTAACTTAATAGTCACTAGCTTTGTCAACATGCCAGAGAACGTTCAATAGTCACTGACTTTGTCAACATGCCAGAGAACGTTAAATAGTCACTAACTTTGTCAACATGGCAGATACATTAAATAGTAACTGACTTTGTCAACATGGCAGATATGTTAAATAGTAACTGACTTTGTCAACATGGCAGAGAACGTTCAATAGTCACTGACTTTGTCAACATGCCAGAGAACGTTAAATAGTCACTGACTTTGTCAACATGGCAGAGAACGTTCAATAGTCACTAGCTTTGTCTACATGCCAGAGAACGTTCAATAGTCACTGACTTTGTCAACATGCCAGAGAACGTTAAATAGTCACTAACTTTGTCAACATGGCAGATACGTTAAATAATAACTGACTTTGTCAACATGGCAGAGAACGTTCAATAGTCACTGACTTTGTCAACATGGTAGATACGTTAAATAGTAACTAACTTTGTCAACATGCCAGAAAATGTTAAATAGTCACTGACTTTGCCAACATGTCAGATATGTTAAATAGTATTCAATTTTGTCAACATGCCAGAGAACGTTCAAAAGTCACTGATTTTGTCAACATGCCAGAGAACGTTAAATATTCAGGGTATTTGTCAACATGGCAGAAACATTAAATAGTATTTAACTTTGTCAACATGCCAGAGAACGTTCAATAGTCACTGACTTTGTCAACATGCCAGAGAACGTTAAATAGTCACTAACTTTGTCAACATGGCATATACGTTAAATAGTAACTGACTTTGTCAACATGGCAGATACGTTAAATAGTCACTGACTTTGTCAACATGCCAGAGAACGTTCAATAGTCACTAACTTTGTCAACATGCCAGAGAACGTTAAATAGTAACTAACTTTGTCAATATGCCAGAAAACGTTCAATAGTCACTAACTTTGTCAACATGGCAGAGAACGTTAAATAGTCAGGAATTTGTCAACATGGTAGAGAACGTTAAATAGTCACTAACTTTGTCAACATGGCAGAGAACGTTAAACAGTCACTGACTTTGTCAACATGCCAGAGAACGTTAAATAGTCACTGACTTTGTCAACATGCCAGAGAACGTTTAATAGTCACTGACTTTGTCAGCATGGCAGATATGTTAAATAGTATTCAACTTTGTCAACATGCCACAGAACGTTCAAAAGTCACTGATTTTGTCAACATGCCAGAGAACGTTAAATATTCAGGGAATTTGTCAATATGGCAGAGAACGTTAAATAGTCACTAACTTTGTCAACATGCCAGAGAACGTTCAATAGTCACTAACTTTGTCAACATGGCAGATACGTTAAATAGTAACTGACTTTGTCAACATGGCAGAGAAGGTTAAATAGTCACTGACTTTGTCAACATGTCAGATAAGTTAAATAGTCACTGACTTTGTCAACATGGCAGATACGTTAAATAGTAACTAACTTGGTCAACATGGCAGAGAACGTTAAATAGTCACTGACTTTGTCAACATGGCAGAGAACGTTAAATACTAAAATAGTCACAGACTTTGTCAACATGCCAGAGAACGTTCAATAGTCACTGACTTTGTCAACATGCCAGAGAACGTTAAATAGTCACTGACTTTGTCAACATGGCAGAGAACGTTCAATAGTCACTGACTTTGTCAACATGGCAGAGAACGTTCGGCACGAACGTTCAATAGTCACTGACTTTGTCAACATGGCAGAAAACCTGAACAGGCCCGACTCTCGTCTGCCACTGGTCTATAATTAGAACACACGGGGAATCCCGTCAACTGCAATACAACATGAATGCTAAAAGTTGCACTTAAACCACATCAGTAAACATAGTGTACCTCTGGAGATGTTGTTGACAAACCTCCACATGGTGGTAGACTGAATTTAGATAGAGAGTGTTGCCAGATCGATCAACTTGCGGCTCTAGCCGGGATTCTTGGGTGGAGACCCAGCTACCGCGGCCATCTTGCTTTCTTCACAGAGGTCACATTCAGTGTTGCCACTTTTCTTTGACAAAAAATATCCAAAACGGTGTCCAAAAATATCTAAAAAGATCTAAATCTGCTTGGAAAAGACCTAGAATAAATATCCAAATTGAAAAAGTCAAAAATTACATAGCTTTTGTTATGACTTACCCTACATAATCATGTCCTCACCTTCACTGATGTCTGCCTCACAAGGTTCACAGGATAAACTTAGCTTGGATAATGAAGTTGAAGCTTCAGATCCAAAATGATTCTGGTATGCTTTAGTTGTTCAAATTTCTTTATAACAGTGGAACAGTAGGCTTATTTCTCTAGTCTCATCAGGCCGAATTTTAATGGCACGATAGCATTTAAGAGGTAAAATTTCATCCTGCCTTTATTGACTGAAGTATGTTGCTCACAGAAAAAAGTGAAATATTTTTCAAAACATCTAGATTTTCAGGAAGTCTCTGCTTCAATTGCTTCAATAATGAGATAACGAAATCTTGACAGCGTTTTCTTAAGTTGTTCTCTTCATTCTCTGTTAACAGTCCTTTTGTTTTTAAATCATCAATTTTTGATTCGATTTAATATCCATGGTGTGGCTTAGGAGCCAAATAGTTCTTTATAGTGCAAGTGAGCAAATCAGCTTTAGAAGTTGGCAACACCAGTCTTTTACCGAGTGAAATAGCAATGTGAGATCATCAAGTAATTTAACTTTATCAACAAGTTTAGATTCCAACAGTTTATTAACTTTTTGCACTTTCATTAGAATAGGTTATAAAAAGAGAATGAATGACAATTTTTTTTTCATCACTGTACATTCCATATAGTATTTCAGCTGTGTAGTACTTTTCACTTTGTCTTGTTATTTCAAAGTGTGTCTTCAACTTCAGCCATTGCTTCATAATTCTTTCAACGGCTGGTTAAATTGATAACCATCTAGTTTTGCAATCTGACAGAATTTTCGGTGGTGTGGAACCATGATTCAAGGCTGTCTATAATGTATTGTATTGCTGTTGTCTGACAAATGATTTGGAAAACCAGTAAAGTGTTTCAGCAATAAGGTTTTCCAAATTCCTTGGTAAATATTTAGATGAAGCATGTGATAATGCTAGCTGCAATTAATGACGCATACATTTTATAAGTATTAACGATGGGTTAGCTTCCTTCAACTTGGCATAAACGCCATTGTTTTTACCAACCATCACTGAGGCATTATCAGTAACAATTACAGCCAAATTCTTCAAGCCTAACTGTTTGCTGATTAAAAGGTCCTTCAGTTCCTAAACTATACTGTCTACACCACACTTTTCAAATTGAACTAGTCCAAGATTTTTTACAAATCGATCAAATGGTCACAATTTGAAATTGCGCAGTGACAAATTAAAAACATTGCGACTGATACTTCAACTTTTGATGATTCATTTATCATTATAGTTCTGAAAACAGATGTCAGCGGTGTAATATCTTTAAATGAAACTGCAGTTTTATGCTTTTTTAGTCTCTGCATGACTCTTTGAGTTTTGTATTTTCGCTTTAATTTCACACTTGCAGTACTTACAACAAGCTTTGGTTATATCCCCAGTTTTTAATTTTGCCATCATACAGCCACTCTTTCCAAATTTTTTGCTCATACCTTACTTTTGGCATGTTGAAAGGTTTTTTCAAAGTGAAAGCCACATAAGAAGGTGAGCAATTATTTTTTTTAAATCACATGAAAAAGAAACGCAAAGTCAGCACAGTGAGGATACGGTTAAAACAAAGTTAGTATGATTTACGCGCGTTTTTATTAATCAGTACTGGGGCTGCCAGATATTTGTGCGTTGACCCCAGTGAGAGTTCAAAGTTCAAGTAATGGCAGTTGTCACAATGTATGTGCCAGACCAAAACACAAATATTGTAGTAAATATTTTACACAGTAATTATGAAATTGACAATGAAAGAAAAAAAATCTATTAAATATCTAACTCTATATGAAAAGAATCCAGAAAAATATTTACGATCTAAACGTCAAAAACAGTATCTAAATGCAATGAAAAAGATCTAAATTTGGATATAAAAGATCCAAAGTGGCAACACTGAAATCAGTGTTGCCACTTTTCTTTGACAAAAAATATCCAAAACGGTGTCAAAAAATATCTTAAAAGATCTAAATCTGCGTGGAAAAGATCTAGAAAAAATATCCAAATTGAAAAAGTCAAAAATTACATAGCTTTTGTTATGACTTACCCTACATAATCATGTCCTCACCTTCACTGATGTCTACCTCACAAGATCAACAGGATAAACTTATCTTGGACAATGAAATTGAAGCTTCAGATCCAAAATGACCCTGGTATGCTTTAGCTGTTCAAATTTCTTTATAAGTGGAACAGTAGGCTTATTTCTCTAGTCTCGTTAGGCCGAATTGTAATGGCACGATAGCATTTAAGAGACAAATGATTTGGAAAACCAGTAAAGTGTTTCAGCAAAAAGGTATTCCAAATTCCTTGGTAAATATTTAGATGAAGCATGTGATAATGCTAGCTGCAATGAATGACGCATACATTTTATAAGTATTAACAATGGGTTAGCTTCCTTCAACTTGGCATAAACGCCATTGTTTATACCAACCATCACTGAGGCATTATCAGTACCAATTACAGCCAAATTCATCAAGCCTAACTGTTTGCTGATTAAAAGGTCCTTCAGTTCCTAAACTATACTTTCTACATCACACTTTTCAAATTAAACTAATCCAAGATTTTTTACAAATCGATCAAATGGTCACAGTTTGAAATTGCGCAGTGACAAATTAAAAACATTCCGACTGATACTTCAACTTTTGATGATTCATTGATCAGTATAGTTCTGAAAACAGATGTCAGCGGTGTAATATCTTTAAATGAAACTACAGTTTTATGCTTTTTTTTAGTCTCTGCATGACTCTTTGAGTTTTGTATTGTCGCTTTAATTTCACGCTTGCAGTACTTACAACAAGCTTTGGTTATATACCCAGTTTTTAATTTTGTCATCATGCAACCACTCTTTCCAAATTTTTAGCTGATACTTTACTTTTGGCATGTTAAAAGGTTTTTTCAAAGTGAAAGCCACATAAGAAATTAAGCAATTATTTTTTTTAAATCACATGAAAAAGAAACGCAAAGTCAGCACAGTGAGGATACGGTTGAAACAAAGTTAGTATGATTTACGCGCATTTTAATTAATCAGTACCGGGGCTGCCAGATATTTATTTTACACAGTAATTATTAAATTGACAATGAAAGAAAAAAAAATCTATAAAATATCTAACTCGATATGAAAAGAGTGTAGAAAAATATTTACGATCTAAACGTCAAAAGCAGTATCTAAATGCAATGAAAAAGATCTAAATTTGGATATAAAAGATTCAAAGTGGCAACACTGGTCACATTGGTAGAAAACATTGTCTGTTTCTTAGAGACACGAAACAATATAATAATGTGCTGATAAGAAACACCCACTGCATCAAGCCCTTTTCAGTGAAAAGGGCGACAGACTGAAGAGGGGAAAATCGTGGCTAGGTCGGGCAGAAGATGTTATTAGGCAAATATGCAGCCTAACCGACATCATACCTGGTGCACAATGGATACCTGTGCCTCAGGCGTTTATTTGTACATTTTCCTGTATTGTCACACTCAACAGGCGATGTAGAGAAGAGAATCCTGTTGCTGTTAATGCAGATGTCAACGCTCTCATCGGTGAAAATTCAGACGAAGCAGATGCACTAATCTATACAGGCGGATCCGTTATACGCCAAAGAAGAAGCGTATGGGCATTTACTGCACGCTCAGCGGGCAAAACAGTCAAAGAAGCCAACGGCGCCTTCTCCATGACAACCAGCAGCATGACGATGGGGGTGATGGCAGTGACGCAAGCGTTTGCCTGGCTTGAAACACAAAAATACACCCGTGTATGTATACTCAGTGATTCAATGAGTATGATCCGGAGGGTTCAGGCAGGTTCAGTGCGAAGACAATGGCTTGAATCATTACAGAAGTCCACTGTGTGTGGAGTCACCTTTATTTTTGTTCCGGGACACGCAGGCGTCGATGGAAATGAAAGAGCTGACAGGTTGGCTGGATCCGCTATCACTACCGACGGTCAGCCTATGGATAATGCTGATATTATCAATGCCCTCAGAGAAATGGGAAGGAGAAAGGACTTTGGTGGCAGTGAATCCACATCACCCGCCAGAATGGCAGACTTGGGAATTAAGATCGGCACAGCAAAAAACGAGACGCACACCAGTCACGTCAGAAGACTTGTTAATCAACATAGAACTGGTACTATTAGCCATCGGACGTTGGGTTTCATACTGAGGGGAGGATCTGAGCACCTATGGACATGTCCGGAGTGCAATGATGATAACCCTACTATCTAACTAACTAACTAACGAAACAATATACACAACAAATGGTGCTTTATCAAACTTTGAATATCTAGGCTCTATAATAAACAACAGTGGAGACTGTTCGACAGAAATTAAAAGGAGGATGGCCAAAGCAATGCAAAGATTGAACAGCCTTAAAAGTATATGGCTAAGCACCAGCAAGGAGATCAAAATTAGAATTTTGAGATGATGCATCTTCCCTGTGGCTACATACGGATGTGAGTCGTGGACTATCTCTTAGTCCTTAAGAAAGAGAATAGGGGCTTTTGAACTGAAATGCTATAGAAAGATTCTCAAAATATCTTGGACAAAGAAGATGAGAAATATTGACATCTTAAAAATCTGAACATGAAGGAAGATTGGCTAATAAACAGCATCCTGTCTCGAAAGCTGAAATATTTTGGTCATATCAAGCGCCACGACGGATTGGAAAAAATTATAGCAGAAGGCATGGTACCAGGAAGGAGGGGCAGAGGCCGACCGACACGAAG